CAATAAGCTGGATGGGTAGGGATATCTATTCAAAGAATGAGCATATAGAAGCCATACACCCTAACTCCCCGAGCTACTGTAGTACGATTCGATTACTGTAAACCAGCTTTTATTCGCGTGCGAGAAATTTTCGCAAGGTTCGCGAGAGCCTCGTCATCGCGAATATTTCTCGCCGCGAACGTTCCTTATACTCTTTTTTCTATTATAAATAATTCCAAAGACGGCTTGATTGCGAAAATTAATCGTCGCGAACTAGTTTTCTCCCGGTAAATCGCGAAATAAAGTCGTGGCGAATAAAAGTTGGTTTACAGTATCTAATGTGAATCAAGTATAGGCATTTTATCCTTCTTCTAACTGATATACCTTAAGGTAGGAGAAAACACTCAAGGATTTTATTTTAATCCATTTCTTAAAAAAGTAATGGAGAAAAATGGATAATTTTACTAAGATGACAACAATGAATGATCCCTGTAAGAACAATACGTGTTTGTAAAGCACTGATGCCACATAGCAAAGATTGGAACCAAAAGTAGGATATTCTCACTGGAAAACAATTGTGAAATTTGAAAGTAAGCTAAGTTTTTTAATAAGTACAAATATCTCAAAGTTCAAGGTCAAAAGGTCAATGTAATAAGTATCAATTGAAAGGGCTTGCCACATAAAATTCTTATGTAGAGTACAGCCTTAGCCCTAACCGTTCAGAAGTTATGGTCAACGTTCAATTTCTTAAAATATAGGTCAGTCTCAAAGGTCAGGGTCAAAGGGTCAATGTTCCTGGTATCCAATGAAAGGTCTTTTCACATGAATTACAAATATGAAGTATAAAAGCTCTATCCCTTACCTTTCAATAGTTATGGCCAAGGTTTAAGTTTTTTCACAGGTAATGAAATCTACAAGGTCGAGGTCAAAGGGTCAAGGTTGTTGGTATTCAGTTAAAGGTCTTTCAACAAACATTACCTCTGTGAAGTACTGAGTATAAATGTCCCAGGCTGGTATCTACTGTTCAAAAGATATGGCCAAAGTCCAACGTCATATAAAAAACCTCCAAGTTCAAGGTCAAAAGGCCAAATTTGGTGGTACCCAAAGTAAGGTCTTGTCACAAGAAATATGTTTGTCTGTTTGTCTGCAAAAACTTTAGTCTTGCCCAAAACTTTTGATTAAGTGGAGCTATGACTTTCATGTTTCAAATGTGTATTTCTTTTCACAAGGCCTTTCCTTAGGTACCACTAGATTTGACCTTTTGACCTTGGAGTTTGACCCATTTAAACACAAAGATTTTTAATTCTTACTTTGGAAATAACTTTTGAACAGTAAATACTAGGACTTTTATGCTTCACATATATATATATTTGATGGCAAGACCTTTAACTGGATAACACCAACATTGACCTTTTGACCTTGACCTTTGAGATTTACGTACTAATGAAAAAAAATTAACCTTGGCAATAAATTTTGAGCGGCAAGGGATAGAGCTTTCATACTTTACATATGTAATTCTTGTAAAAAGACGCTTCATTGGATATTAAGAACTTTGACCCTTTGACCCTTTGACCTTGGAGTTTGACCTAGTTTTATATTGATATTGATCATATCATTTAAAGGGTTAGAGAAAGTGCTTTCATACTTTATGTATTCAATTCTTGTGACAAGACCTTTCATTTGATATCAAGACATTTTACCCTTTCACCTTGACCTAAGAGTTTGACCTACTTTTAATTTTTTTTTACCTTGACCATAACTTTTGAACGGGTAAGGCTAGAGCTTTCAAACTTCAAATATATATTTTTAGCTCACCTGAGCCGAAGGCTCAAGTGAGCTTTTCTGATCACATTTTGTCCGTCGTCCGTCCGTCCGTCCGTCTGTCTAGCTGTTTGTCCGTCCGTCTGTCTGTCCGTCTGTAAACTTTTCACATTTTCGACTTCTTCTCAAGAACCACTGGGCCAATTTTGACCAAACTTGGTACAATCCTTGGGTGATGGGAAATTTAAATTGTTAAAATAAAGGGCCAAGTTTTCTCACAAGGGGAGATAATCAAGAAAAGATAAAAATAGGGTGGGATCATTAAAAAATCTTCTCAAGAACCACTGGGCCAGAAAAGCTTAAACTTATGTGGAAGCATCCTAGGGTAGCGTAGATTCTAAATTGTTCAAATCATGACCCCCGGGGAAAGGGCGGGGTCACAATGGGGAATCAAAGTTTTACATAGAAATATATAGGAAAAATCTTTGAAAATCTTCTTCTCAAGAACCACTGGGCCTGAAAAGCTGAAACTTATGTGGAAGCATCCTAGGGTAGTATAGATTCTGAATTGTTCAAATCATAACCCCCAGGGGAAGGGCGGGGCCACAATGGGGAATCAAAGTTTTACATAGATATATATTGGAAAAATCTTTGAAAATCTTCTTCTCTAGAACCACTGGGCCAGAAAAGCTGAAACTTGTGAGGAAGCATTCTAGGGTGGAGTAGATTCTAAATTGTTCAAATCATGACCCCCAGAGGAAGGGCGGGGCAACAATGGGGAATCAAAGTTTTACATAGAAATATATAGGAAAAATCTTTGAAAATCTCCTTCTCAAGAACCACTGGGCCAGTTAAACTGATACTTATCTGGAAGCATCCTAGGGTAGTGTAGATTCTAAATTGTTCAAATCATGACCCCCAGGGGAAGATCGGGGCCACAATGGGGAATCAAAGTTTTACATAGAAATACTGAGTATATAGGGAAAATCTGAGAAAATCTTCTTCTCAAGAACCACTGGGCCAGAAAAACTGAAACTTATGTGCACATGGAAGAATCATGGGGTAGTGTAGATTTCAAAATGTCTAAATTATGATCAGTGTAGGGTGGGGATGCAATATGTATTACAAGGGGGGAATCTGGTAAAGAACAGAATAGTCAAAGCTTTTCAGGTGAGCGATGTGGCCCATGGGCCTCTTGTTTATGGAAAGACCTTTCATTGAATACCAATACATTTGACCTTCTGACCTTGACCTTAGAGATTTCCGGACGTATGAAAAAACTTTAACCTTTGCAATAACTTTTGAACGGCTCGTGCTTGGGCTTACATACTCCTTAAATGTATCCTTTGTGGAGATCCTTTTATTGGATACCAATCACCTTGACATTTTGACCTTGACCTTACAGATTTCCGGACTTATAAAAAAGTATTTACCTTGGCAATAAATTTTCAAGAATAAGAGCTAGGGCTTTCATACTTCACATATATAATTCTTGTGACAAGACCTTTCATTCAATATCTATAAACTTGACCTTCTGACCTTGATCTTGGAGTTTAATTTACTTTCAAAATCTTTTAACAATGGTCGTAACTTTCGAATGGTAAGGGCTAAGGCTTCCGTACTTCACACGTGTTCTTTGTGGAAATACCTTTCATTGGATACCAGTAATTTTGACCTTCTGACCTTGATCTTGTAGATATCTGTACTATTGAAAAAACTTTAGCCTGGACGTAATTCGGAACAGATGGTAATAGGGCTTTCATGTTTCACAATTGTATTCCAGTTAGGAGACCCTACTTTGGGTACCAATGTTTTAAATTTGTATTGAAGAAAAGTTTAATCTTCACTATGTTGCCATACGGGGGCATCAGTGTTTCACAAACACATCTAGTTTATTCAAATTTTATAGTATCAATATTACTTACTGATATAAAGTAACAAAAATGTTATTTTTATTAAAAGTATTAAACAAATTTGCAATAGATCAATTGATAATTCTAAAATAAGACTCATTCTCAAGTCGAATGTCTGATTTCAAAATCTTCTTATAGCGGTCTGATAGGCCATATTTCAGACTATTTGGGCAAAAAATGTGCGGCTGAATTTCTTTCATATCACATAAAAAGAGAGATTTTGTATCCTAGAACAAAATATCAACGTTTCAGAAAAAGTGAGGAAAATTTTGGACTACGGTAGAAGTACATTTTTCCGCGTGGTATTATTTTTCGCTATGTACGCGGTCACCAATTTTCCGCGGAAATTTGTCCAAGCGTACTTAATATAAATGTAAGGCATATAGAGACAGTCTAAGATATCCGCGTAATTTTCTACCCGCGGATTAAACAGAAATTGAGATTCCGCGGAATTATGACCCCGTGGAAAAAAGTACGTCTACAGTATCTGTTGTGTCCTACCTTAAAAGTTAAACTAATAATATTTTAGGGATCAAATGATTACATTGTATTTTACTGGGAAGGTTCTTAACCATTGCAAATGTAACTTGGCGAAATTACCATAACAAATTGCCCTAGATCTAGAACACAATCGACTTTTACAGTTGACGGGTTACTTTGACATTTAAACCTGTATCATGTGCGGAGATAAAGAATTAAATTGATAGAAGATAAGAAAAGCATTCTAGTGGTCATATATAGGAACATGTATTTAATCGAATTTAATTAATCAGTATATTATTATCCTTTTTTTCATTATGTAAAGTCAGATTACATATTATTGGATTAGACATAGGCATTGCCTTTATACATGTATACACTAAACACACAATAATAGAATCTATCATCTTTTTTTCATCACAATAAAGTATATTTCTCATTGCACATTTTTTTACTAAATAAATATAACTTAAAGCACCTAGTATTTTTTAGCAACATTGAATGCCGTTACACGTTTACACCAGTTCCCCCGAATCTAGGACTAGTCATCTCCTTCCAGTTTATCAACCTTGATTACGAATCAGCTTGTTATGACCACATCATCCTTAAAGAAGGTATTACATGTAAATATCTAAGTTTTGTACTTAAAATCTTTTTATAACCCTGCCGCTCCGATGGAGATGGGGGTATACTGTTTTACCCTTGTATCTCTCACTGTTTATCTCTCCGTAACAAATTTTTGGTCGCAATTTTCTTAGCATTAACACAGTAAAACAGCTCATGGAGAACCCTGCAGTATATGGTGGGATTTATTTTTATATGAATCTGATGTCAACTTCCTATTTATCTATGCATCTAGCAATCACTGATCTTTTGTATATTAACATGTTTATGTTCACATCAGAGCGGGGATATTACTAGTGAGCATTGGCTTACAGACTTCTATAATATACAGGTATATTAAATATAAAACATGTACAATTAGTTTGCTTATGGTCATATACGCCTACCAAGGGACATTGTGTACAACTAACTTCATAAGAAGCTCTTCAATGATTAAAATGTGATACATTTGATGATTGATACATATTTCTTAGGTGACATAAATGGAAACCAAATTGCTAAAATATGTCAGGGCTATCCACTTAGTCGTCCTGTTATATCTCCAAATGAGACCTATAGAACCAAAGAGGCATTGTTTCTTCATTTTGTATCTGACGATATGGTCCTAGCACGTGGGTTTAGAGCTATTGTCAAACAAGGTAAACTTAAAATACACTGATATGTACTTTTTCATTAGGGCTTTACGGAACGCCGGGATTGTCTTATATGAAAATCAAACATGATATGCAGTGTTTTCTTCGTTAAATTCGGTATTATTTTAATTATATGAAGTAGGGTTTACTTTATATCCAGGCACGTAGCACAGTGGGGAGGGGGGGGGGGGGGGGGGCAGGGTAGCCTGGCCACCAACTTTTTTTTCTAAACGATACTTTTAGTATTGGAAATGTTCATTGAAAGGCTGGTTGCCCCCCCCCCCCCCCCGCCACTTTATACTACAGGAAATTGATATCGGGAAAATGTAGTATTTAATGCACAGATTTGGTACTGAAAGAAGTTGGTATAATAAAAAAATTGGCCTCTAACCCAACCCAACCTCCACGTGGCTGATATCATGTGCAACTGCCATTGTAAACAGTAATCTTTCATTATATGATGTAGTTTTTTCATTATATTATGTTATAGAAATTGTATAATCGAACGACAAGTTCCGAAAGATCATACACATGAAGAAGAAAGCATCCCATATAGATCTCATACTGTGTCAACATCATAATGAAATCCAACGGAATGCTATTATGGCCGGATATAATATTAAACGGCCATAATCATAATACGAACAGAAATACTACATATAAAGATGAATATACAAGTGTAATGTATGTAATGAAAGGGGTACATTATATATTGTTGTGTTTACTGTAATGTACATGTATATAATGTTAAACTACCGCATATTATGTTAAGTGCAATTCATCTAATGAGCAAAACACCTCATATAATGAGAGATGCTTCTAATAAAATGACATAACTACATCAAATAATGAAAGATGTACTGTAAAATATGGAACTTGCAACGATATAAAGTAATCAAAGTACTGAAAGTACTGAATCGAGGTGACGTCTTTCAGAAAAATGTGAAATTCACCCCCAAGTAACTGACATACATGTATACAAAAATTTTAATTTAGGCGAAACCCCAATGAAAATCACTGGATAGAAAAAAGTGACCAACACGACAATGCATTTTGTAACTTATTTGATGTATAAAAAGTGAACTAAAGTTATCCTTCAGTATCCGTCACCATAAGAGGAAAATACCTCGCATTTCTCTTCAAATTATATTTTGATTTGTTTCTTGTTATCCAGTAGCTGCGGATCTGTAGCTCGCCGAAAAAAAAAAAAAATCACAGTCCGGAGGGCTACAGTGCCACCCATTGAAAAACTGTTCATTATTGCGCAAATAGAAGTGCGCTGTTTCTATCTCGATTTATTTCTCCGTGTTTTTAAACTGTCATCTCAAAATTATAACCTTGTGTTCCTAACATTTTCTTTCACTGTTTCCGAAAAGAAAACGTTCATTATAATTGTTTTAATAGCTCTCCTGATCCTGAAATTGAGATCATCAAACATATCGTCTATTTATAATGCAATTTTGGTTTGCAAGATAATTCAGTCCAACGCACTTCATGCACATGTCAACTACGAGATTACTTCATGGAGGAGTAAGGAATTTTTTAAAATAAAGCTTTTTTGCGATTGAGGTAAGAATTTGGAAGAACTTATCCAGAACTTAGCACAACTTTTTGTGCGCAATAAATATACAGTTTTTTTTCAATGGATGGCACTGTGGCTCTCCGGTCTGTCAAAATATTTTTTTGAAGAGATACAGATTCGCAGCTAGTTACACAGTAGTAAGGATGAACATTATATTTAATGATATTAACAAAAAAGTGGAGACACCGGGCTTACATAAAACACTAAATAGAATAAGTATCCTGCAGATATCATTTTGTCCAATGTATCCTAACTCTGTCACCAGGGTTCTCTACAATATGCCTACGTATCAAAGAACCCCCCTTAGATAAACTTTTCATGAACTTTGTATGAAAAAGAAAATAATGTATGTGTCATATATTTTTGAAATTGCAGCATGAAGGCTCTGGGGCCGTAAAACTTAGATGAGCTCACTCTTGATCTCAGTCTCACTTTTCTAAAACTACATGTACAAGTAATTTTTTATAAGTATTAGTGAAACTAGATCAAAAATGCTCCGAGCAATGAAACAACATTTATCATTGATGCAGCTAGCATTTAATACAATCAAAAAACCTCTCTTTAGTATTTTATTTTTGCCAAGAGCAGGCCCAGTTTGACATTGTAAAGAAAGGTACAATGTATAAATTCTGCATTTTAAAATTTGACTTTCCAAATAGTAGATTAGGGGATTAATGATTTTACTTTAGTGATTGAATTCGCCCATCAAATCAAAATCTGTATTATTAGCTTTCAGATTTAAAATATAACTATCAAATTAAAATACTTAGCATTAGGTATAGTTAAAAAAATATATTATTTCAAATTTTCCAGTTTCAAGGCATTTCAATGTCTACAGCTTGAAAACAAATTATTCGCTATTACATTGTATCAATCAAAAGTTTTTACATCCTCTTCATTTTCAAATTCCTTATAATAACTTTCTTTTTGTGAATTCTTAAAATTATAAAAGATAGAAACCACATTATGATAACTATATAGCAAGTAAAAAGTATTATGTAAACTAGATTAATAGCTCTAAAATTTACATGCATGTCTCTATTTATAGCATGATTCATTCATTTTAACAATAGAAATGATCTACCTTCGGTATGACATCGATAGATGTTTAGCTGTGTTAACGTTGCGTCTTGTTGTGTATCACTTGTAACAATGTAATTTTTCATATTCGGAATCCTAAATTCTAGAGGAGTTCCGACCGAGTATTCGATGAAGTGGTCATTACTCATTAGCATGCAGCGAAATGGGTATACAGGTGCCCTGCTGTCGTTCACCTTTTTCAACAGTGATAGCACCAAAGCAAACAGATTTATATGATCGGGACGATATTTTTACGTTCTAAACAGATTTCTTTTAATGAATTAGGAAAAACAGAAGGGTAAAAATAACTTAGCTTTTGTGATAATTTACTGTGAAGTGCGAAAACACCTTCGCTTTTGTAATAATTTATGGTGAATTTTGGAGCTCGATAGGGACTGTTGCGCATCCGACGCCTCTACGTTAACCCCAAATTTATTTAATTGCACGTTTCAATTCAAGCAGAACGCTTCCTTCTGTTTTGTTTCAGTGTATACTGTTCGATCGACGTTCAATACACATACATGTAGGTCACGATCCCTACTGCAGCCAGTTGTTTACACTTTGCCCTCGCTAAAAGAGTTCAGAGCGTGGGGATACTTCATATTTTATTCCCACCCAGGAACTTGTATTTAGTATTTGTAAATCCATAAAAACACTACGTACTGCTTGGAAATTAAATTGAATACATTGTAGATCTTGTTTTGTGACTGAAATTCTTATTTTAATACATGTAAAATCAAGGGACTGTATTTCTTAGAGAAATGATAAAAATTAACGCTTTAATATTTCCAGTTAATCTTGCAAGTGCTATTGTTTACATATTAGCAACCTATCTTTAATTTGATCCTTGCCTTCTAAGGTATCAAATTTAACAACAAGATTACTGATCTGTCCCAAAGAGCGAAGATCAATAAGAAAATGAAAATGGTAGTGATCACAGGGGTCCGCCATTAAGCTATAGAGCAGCAATTGAGGCTGACTTACGTCACCTCGAAAAATTACTTCATTCAATTAAAATAGTACCGGATATAATAAAGGAAAAATGGCACTTAATGTTAATTGTTTAATCCTCATATGAGACAATTTCGGCGTTCCATAGGCGTTCATAAATTTTCTGTATTTTGTAAAAGGTTAAAAAATTATTAACTCTTATACAAGATAAATATCCATTCCTGTTTCTTCATCAATGGTTATTAAAAACTGCTTTTCTGATCAAAAATACTTAAATTCGAAACAGATCCAATATCGGTAAACACGGAGAGCACCACAGCAGTGGCAAATGAGTCAACAACAAAGAAAAATACCACTCATAATAATAACTCACCATTGACTATGGTAACGGAAAGCAACACGCTATCAACATTACCATCAACGACAGAGATCACGACACAAACTTCACCTACTACTACGTCTAAAGGTAATATACTGTGCTGTACTATGATTGCTCTAAGTATTTGCTTTGTTCTATTGTACAGTTATTAACTAGTTTTTCTTACAAATAAAAGCTACGTTGAACGGCATCAATGTACATGAAGATACCTTGCAATAGGCACTTTCACATTTTAAATGAAATTGGGATCCAGGACTTTTAACTTAAAGCTATATTTTGATAATTATATCATCGGGTCTTTTTGACCCTCTGATATATATTTATAACAAATTAAATGTAATAATAATTTCAATAATTTATTCTTTTTATTAGAAATATTTTATTTCCATTTGGCATCTCAAAGAACTTTCCTTAGTTAATCTTTCTTTATATTTTGTAAGATTGATTTTACACTTATTTTATCCCCAAGCTTAAAAGCTAGGAAGTTCGGCAAATATTCACACACTTTTAGGCAAGGCGAAATTCCATTTTATTTACCAATAGATAACTTATACGCAATTCAATTAAGTGATTCTTTTGATGTCCACTTTACTCAATTAGTGTCATGTCATCGGATTATACTCTTTTAAGTTCGAGAGGAAAATTGGGTATATGCATCTTTGTTTACCTTAATTGTTTTTATAATTATCCCTCTGGGGAGCCCTACCTTGACCAGGCCGATTTTTGTTTCGAGTACCCAGCGCGTCACTTCTTGCTGGAAACTCATCAAAAAACGACGTAAACTTTATTCAGAGCCTTGGTCATCTTTTTCAGGTAGGAAAGTATTTTGTATATTCCTATATGTATATATTTGTTTCATTTTTCCAATACTTGTTTGATATCTTGATGTTCTATGCATTTATTTTGTGTTCACCAATTCTGACAATTATTTATAAGACAAAATTGTGCATAAAACTACTTTTCCGTTTGATCAATGCGCACTGTCTTAATCATTTACCTAATAGGACATTTGTATTAATTCATTCATTAATTGGGCCTGACTTTCATTCACATCGATTCAATGATTCCTATTTCAAAATTATTTAGTTCATTCTATTTTACATCTTTTTAAAAAAAATTGTTAACTTTGTGACTTTACTTTCCAGAAAAAACATGTGTAATAATAATACTTTATTTAGAGAAGGTAACCCGATTAGTGCGAGCACTAGTCTTCCTCGGGGCCTTCTTTAAAACACATATACAATGCATATATACAAAAAATAGAATTACAATTATGAGACAATAAAAATCAAGTGTATGTTACAAGGTAATAAAACATCAACATTTCAATATATAGAGAGAGAAGAACAAAAAATCATATAGAATCATTGCGTTTCATCAGCAGAAAATTTTCAACATTTCTTTTAAATATTGCCAGGGATTGGGACTTCCTGATATTAATTGGTAACTCATTCCAGATAATAACCCCTGAATATTGTAAAGAATTTTAAAATAAGTTAGTTTTAAATTTTGGTAATCTAAGTACTGAATTTGTTTCTGAGCGTAACGTGTATGATCCAGAACTTTGAAATTCAAAAAGATTATGCATATAATCGGGAGACATACCATTAAATATTTTGAACATTAGAATGCTTTTCTGTAAATATAAAAGTTCATAAACAGTTAGCCAACCTAAAGTATTAAATAAAGGCATTGAAGGTGTATCAAATTTTTCATTTAAAATAATCCTAGCTGCTCGTTTTTGTAATCTGTAGATTCTATCAATATGCGTTTGAGGACAATTGCCCCAAATGGATAGACAATATAAAACTGATGGTAGAATAAAAGCATTATAAAATAGCTTTCTAGTATGCATTGGAAGAAACCTTCGCATTTTTGGCTTTAAATCTACAAAGTATCAGTCCAGAACTTATTATATGATACAGTAATACTCTTAGGCATTTTAAATAATTCATATTGTTACTTTTTATTTCATAATTATTCTTATGCATTTTGATTAAGAAAAATATCATTATTTCGCTTTTTAATGGCTTTCTCGCATTCCGGAAAATTGTCACGTGACCAGTTTAGAGTCTATACTAATTGTTTACAGCTCCGACAAAGTTGAGAATGCACACCAAAGAATGTTTTCTTGAGAATATGTATCTTATTCATTATTCAAAACAATTACTGTATGTATAACACTTTTCGATCATTCAAACAATTGCATTTTTATACTTTTGTATCAATCAGAATATTTTCTACATTGTTTGATCACATATTCAAGGTATTATATGTGCACTAATGTCCTTGATTATAGGGACCTCATGTATTTCTATACACACGTATGATGACTATATTTTGAATGTTTTTAATTCCATCCAATGCTTAAAATTCAAGGTTCAAACATTTTATATACTGATTCAAAATTAATCTTATGCAACTTTTGTTTCATTTGTCCATTGTTATTGATCATTTGAAATAATTTATAAATTGTCATTTATCTTGGAATATCAAACATCCTATTGTCTTCATAATAGTGTACCTCATCAAGGTCAAGCGAGTTCTCCACTTTAGCTAATTTTCCCCACCTTTGTAGATTATTTGTAGAATATTTTGTTCATTTATTTTCATAAGATATTATGTGCACATGTGAATCATTGCTTTTATATAATGTGGTCACTAAACATCTTAACTCTAAGGTATATGTTGCATAGTGTTTTCCGAGTGCAAAGTCTCATTGTTTTTAATTATTACTTATGTTTTATATGTCCCATTATGTCTTGAATTTTTGCTGGAAACTCATCAATAAACGACGTAAACTTTATTCAGAGCCTTGGTCATCTTTTTCAGAGTTATCACCCATGACAACAAAAAAATCTTGGTGATAATTATGGGGAACCTGTTTCATTACAAAACTTTAAAATACGATTTAAAAAAAATAGAGATCTTATCAAAGTGATAAATAATCACAGTCACTGTGATAATATGGATCCATTTTTTTCTAGTTCAATCACATATCTTGGTAGCTTTTTGGTCTTATATTTCTAAAAGATACCATGCGGTCAGCTACAGCTAAATCCAGCATTGTATTAACAACAAGTGAATCAACTAGAGCAAAGCTCGTTGCAAAGCAACGAGTAGGTCTTCCGTCCTGTTTGACCGGAAGTAGCTTTCATTTTCACAAAAATTTGAAATAACGCCCAAATATGCTTTGAATCCTCTAAAGCTATTTTAATTAATGCAAAAATAAGCCAGTTTTTGCTACTTCCGGTTTGACCGGAAATGACGACGACGCACGGAAAATTAATTTTTAAGCTCCCAGAGACATATGTTATCCCAAACTTGTCAAAAACAGCAAAAATACGCGTTTTCCGACTACTTCCTGTTTGGCCGGAAGTGACGACGCTGGACGTATTTTGACGACTCCATTAGATTAAGCTTGACATTTTCAACAACTTTGCTTCTTTAATGTATAACAAATTCTCAATACTTTTTGAGATATCTGGAAAAAACTTTTGGCCCCTCTAAATCCCTTAATTTAGGGATCAGCCCTTTTTTCGACATATCATTTGAAAGATCTAATTCTGCACAAATTGTGCTCTATATATTTTAACAAAATATTTTTAGTTTAGAAGATAAAAAGCAAAATATGAGTAATTTTTGGTTCTTTTAAGCGTTCTAATTTTTGACCCCTATTTAGCGCCATTTTGAATAGAGAAATCGAAAAACAAAAACCGATGTGCACAACTTCAATCCTTCAATTATCTAAAATCAGTAGAATTTATGCTCCAGCTTTAGCCGTCTTTGAGCCTTTGTCTGGAAACGAAAGCCTATAAATTTTCGTTTAAAGGGAAATAACTCAATACCGGAAGTGACTTTTTGAAATTTTATTCAGCATTCTGATAGAGTTTTTAAACGTCTATAACCTCTTAAAATTTGAGCGAAATCCGTTGAGAAATGAGTGAGATATGAGGCCTCAAAGTTGCGGTCTAGGAAGTAGAAGAAAAAAAAAAGAATAATAATCTTTACCAAAATCTCAAAAGCCACCGTAACGAGAGTAATAACAGCTAATAACTCTCCATTGACTACAGTAAAGGAAAGCAACACACGATCAACATTACCGGTATTACCATCAACGAAAGATATCACAACACGAACTTCATCTACTACTACGTCTAATGGTAATATACTGTACTGTATAATTATTGTTTTAATTATTTACTTATTTTATATATATATATATATATATATATATATATATATATATATATATATATATATATATATATATATATATATATATACAGCACTAAAAATGACCAACGACACGAACAATAAAAATTGTCAAATTTTCGGGACGCCCTGTCCCTTCCTCAGGACAAAGTAAAAAGTTAAAAAGTCATATTAAGAACAAGAACAAAGAAAAAAGAGAAACAAAAACAACTATATATTTACATACTTAGCTACATGTTGAATTGGAGATTTTTAAGAACACTATTAAAGAAAGAAATCCGGACGGTTATGAAATACGTCCGTTCTATCGGGTAAAGTGCGATTCACATAATTGAACGAATTAATTATGCTAATTAATTACGACAATCAGTAAATCGTACATTGTTTCATTCTCTCAAAATAGTGTTACTATTCTTGATAAAGAATAATCAAAGAAAAATAATATAGCATGGATATAATATCATATGAATTATGATCTATTATAAATTTTGAAATGTTTTAAGACTAATTATGGGAAAAAAATAATTAACAAAGGCGTAAGCAATACAAGATGTAGTTATATTTCAAGAGTGACTAAACTAAACGAAAAAAAAAGGAGTAGATCGAATTTCACGAGTGGCTAAATTAAGAAAATATCAAATATGCATGCAAATTTTGAAAGATATGGAGCTGAATTTCAATTATCATAGTAACCAAATCAAGAATCCTGAATTATGTAAAATGCATATCAATGAAAAATAGAAGATTTGACATTTAAGAGTGGCTTATTCGCGAGAATTGGAACATATTGATGTGCACTGAAAATGTCAAATTATCTGTCAATTTAAGAAAATTGTGAAAATAATTGATGTGCATATTAATTTATTTTTTGCTCTTTGTAAGTTATAATTCCCTACTTGTAATACTGTTGAAGATTGGTTTTTCTTAGTTAAAGATATTTGTGTGAACATCTTTTTTTCTATCAGAGTACATTACACACATAACACAAATATGGATCAGAGACCTCAACCCATTTTAACATTATATATTCAATACCATCAAGTTGCCTGATCTGGAGTCTCGAAGTAAGGACTGGTCCTTCGGATAAGGCCGTATAAATCGAGGTCCCGTGTCGCAGTAGGTCTAGCACAAAAAGGTCCCTAACTGCTCAATGGCCGTAAAGTATAGTGCAAAATTTGCAGCTCTCCACTGGCAAGCGGTGGCATCTAGTCATTCGAGTAAATATTCTCGAGAAGGATGTTTAACAACATACAAACAATACAATCAACTCGTAGCAGTTCTTTCAGTACTTTGATAATGTGAATGAGGTCACTTACAAATAAAAGCTACGTTGGACGGTATCAATGTGCATGAACATACATTTCAATTGGCATTTTCACAATTTAGCGGAAATAGTGACCAAGGACCTTTAAAGGGACATTAGACAAAGTTTCAGTTAAAAAAAATCAAATTTATTTTATGTTTTTACAAATACTTTACAAAGTTCTTTCTCATGATCATCATAAATTTGAACTTCCGTTGGTAAGATACAAGACAGATTCAGAGCTCCAAACCTTTGTTATGTAAACAGGGTCCGTGTCATGTTTTGTTTACATAGATTAATATACTAATATATGTTCGTTCAGAGCAGATAATTTCAATAAAAATGCTAATTTTAAATACATGTATGCCATGAAGGGTTTATAATGAACTCTCCACATTTATTCTGCACAGCAGATGGATTATGGGACAAATGTACCGATAACATCTGCGTACATAGCTCTTGTAAGTGAATACAGATGTGTGTTTTCTTCTTGTAATTACTTTTTATGGCTTGTTCTATAATTATATATTATATGTTTTGCCAAAAGCCGAATCTGCATAAAACTATCAATATTCGAGATTTTGCCATTTGACATACAAATAAAATAATTTCACTATATTTTCACTAAATTTAATAAATTAACCTTATACCTGTATTAAAAGTACTAACAAAAATCTACCAAAAAAAAAAACAAACTTAAATTTCATATGCAGAGCAACAAATTTTACTAATTTAAGGTACAACTAAATTATGCCATGTATGTTTTTTATGCAGCAAGCACATCTGGAAGTGAGGATAAAACAATGGCGTACATAGGAATGTTGGTTGCAGGCATTGTCATCATCGCCATTGTAATAATTGCAACTGTTTGTTTCTTGTACCGCAGAAAACCACAAGTTATTGGGTAAGGTTATACTGGTTTAAGGATGTGCTATAAAATGCTTAAGTTCACACTTTTATGTGGCCCGGACAATTATAATACTGTTATAATTTATTTTTACCCTCTTTGATTGCAATTTATCACAAACTCTGTTTAAGAAAAACAGAAGCTTAATTAAACATGATTTATAATTATTGTTTACTTAAATGCAAATATAACCTTTTAAAGAGATATTTCTATTACAGACAAGAATACCAAATTGCCCCCGCAGCTCGGAATAATATCTATGCAACATTTAAAAATGGCGGACATGCCAGATAGCAGGGATTTACCAAAGAGACCAGTTTTTGGTGTATACTGCTCGATTGACGACGCCTGCGCTACAGAATACGATGAACCACTGAAAGATACCTACCTGAACCCTCTCACATATTGAAAATATTCCATTATAATAAAACGTTTATTTACTGATTCTCTATATCTACATTGTTGTTCCCAAAGAATGTTGTTGCAATACATTTGTTACATCTATATAATGTTGACAGCCAATGTCGTAGCTGGTGTGGTTTTATAGTCTAATTGACACTTCAAAGACATAATAACCATATTGCTTACCAACCATGGTTGTACTTTTCTAATCAATATTTTAAAGAAAAAGCCATCAATGCCTTAAAAACAGAAGAAATTCTGGGGGGGGGATCAAACTGCTTAGTGAATAGTGCAAAGATTTTAACTTATAAAATGTCTTTTTTTATTCGTGTCGTCTTGTCGTATCATATCAAAGTGCTTTACAACTTTTGTAAATTAAAATTGTAATACAAAGTGTGTCGCTGTTTGTTGAATTTTTAAAGAAATGACAAACCTGTTCCTATTGCCTTCAACTCGACATGTAAATATATCTACGACGTATTTTTTTTCAACAATTATTATAAATTAACAATAGTTAATCAATAATCCCATCTCTGATGTTTTGGTGGTCCGTGTGTGATCTGACTCTATTTTGTATATTGTTATTAAATTTTTGATCTTGAATACTGACCGTTACCCCTCTGTATTCTACGTTTCAGTTACGTTACTTTTCTATATGAAATTTAAGAAAAAAAAAATCCTTGTCGATGTTGTCCTTTTAACATAATTCATTGATGACTTTCCCTGTTCGTTGATTCCAATTTCGTTTCTGTTAAACAAAAAAGATTGCAAGATGGATCCTTTAGAAAAATACATGTAACTACACGTTTATGGTCCACAATAAAACTTGAATCACTTATTTTATTCTGTATTGGGTGAGTACTGGTGACATGTTTATAAAAGAGCTTGTAAAAGAATTATTTTTTTTATGTACAATAATAATTTATTTTTAAAAAATAGAAAATACATTCAAAACTGTATAAAATTCCATTTAATTAAATTTAAAAAGTTTCAAATGGTCGTTTATTATGCACAACAACAAAGTTGTTAGTCATTTCTTTTTAAAAGACGTCGTAAGAATTCGATCAGTTCATCAGGAATAGCTTCCCTAGAATGAATAAATATCTGTAGAATGATATATAATTTTGATAAAATTATATAAATAATTCAACAATGGATATGGCTGTTGTTGTACTAATTTCAGATAATAATGAATTTGCAGATGTTTTAATTCATATGAGCTTCTACGTACTCGTTTGTACATGAGCATGTAAATAGTTTTTAATTTTTGATAGGATATTGCCTCAATGGTGTGAATTTACCATTATTTATGTAAATGTTGAAATTCTTATCTTAAGGTTAAACTATGAAGTTTTTTTTGCATCATTTAAAACTGAAGATTTAATCTTTTTTCTCTAAGTTACGAAAAATTTATTTAGATATTCTCTTTAAAATTTATGAGGTTATTTTGGGAGAGCTTAATCTCATTACACTGTAATACTCTAAACTACATAACCATTGAAAGACAAGTTTACTCAGTATTAACCAAAAATAGGTTTATTAAATAGAAAAGTATAATGACCAGTTTGTTTGAGATTGCTAAAAATCTATAGTAAAAATGTTATCAATGATATAAAAAAAGACGCATCTATTGAAAAGATACCCCAGTCTGTTTTAGAATAAACAGATGTATTTTTTTTAATAGCTGCTCTTGTTTCTCGGGGTGAAACATGACCTACATGTACTTCGCAGGTTCTTCATTAAAATTCAAGGGTATTTACAGATAATTTATATGGCAGCCATTGTTCCGCTGACATTGATCTTGGCGATAAAACAGGGTTTTCAACACTAGCAAATACATTTAATTACTTCTCATACATCTTTGAATTAGAAGCTTTGCAAATATCGATTAAACTTAATAATTAATTATAATTAATAATAATTTACAATATTAAATTTTTTTACTGGTTTAATTGTTGATTTAATTATAACAACTTTTAATTATGTTTTACTTGATGATATCTTTAATAAATATTGAGTAATTCCCTTAAAAATTCGTTTATGATTTACGGACATTTCCTTACTTTTTTATGCATATATAAAAAGATGTCTAGTTGACGTTTTTAACATTAGATCTTTTAAATTATTTTAACATACATGTAAATTATCATTTTAATTTCAAATATCTATACTTGCAAATATTTTTCCTTGTATATCACTATTTTCGAAAGGCGTATTTATATCAAAAGCAATCTATGTAATTTCATAAGGACGTCATCACATGACCAACACATTCAATTTATACGGCTAAGGTTCGACAAAAATGTATCATTTTATGGCTTAAAGCTAAAGTACCTTACTATTTGTAAAACAAAATTAGCCGCAAATGCTAAAGTATGTAATAAGGTATTTTTACACTTTTTATCGGTTGATTATATGATTAATTCCCTTTCAGATTTGCATAGACTTCGAAGCTTTATCATAAATTTAATCCAATGCAGACCCGTATTTACATCACGATGATTATTTTCTAAAAATCGTACTTTATTTCTTAATCATTTCTATACTAATCCCAATTGCAAGTAAATCTTCATTTAAATAAAATCACCCCTGAAATTTTTAAAGTCTGGATTCAAACTGTATTCAGCTGCTTGTTTTTTGTGTGTGGTTTTTTTTTTGTTTGCCAGAAAATACTCTTTATGATTAAAAATTCATAATGTATTTGAACTAAATATATGAATAGTAAAATGACTGCAATAGAATTAGGATTTAATGCTGTACATGTATTCTAAAGAATGAAGAAGTATATAGATTTAAACATAAAGATAGAAAATTGATCGATCTTAACATTACGTTGGTCTAGGAGGTTTTGACAGATTTCTTCTTTATTAATTTTCATCAATGCGTTCAATTCAATGTTTTTTGCATTAGATGTTAAATACCATCTCGATTACTTCATTTTAACGAAACTATTTAAACTTTTTAATTTATATTTTTGAGCTGAGGACATTGTGTTCAAACTTTATCATGAATTTAATTCGTGTTTTCGTTAAAGAGTTTATTAAAATCCATCTCCTTATCAAGTCTTTCAACAGAAGGTCAAAACCGATATTTTTACTGATGATTTAGGGAAAACTAGATTAGACTTGTTGTCTGGTAGATACTGATTGAAATCTTCCGGGATTTTGCATACGTGACATAGGGAGAACTAACCCGAATCATTCTAAGAAAGTTGAAAAAAGCACTTCCTTGTCGGATCTTTCAATTTTAGATAATTTTTTTCTAATGGTTTATCCAAACTTGAATCATACTTGAGGTCTTGTATGAGATTTCCATCGTTTTCTTCGATGAACTTCGGAAAAACGAATTTAGGTATATTTCGCGCAATCGTTCGTAGAATCCTGAAAAATTACTGTAAATTAATGTA